CGGGCTGTGGCTGGATGTATCCTGCGAAACCCGCCGCGGGGGGAGTAAATATGCTCCTCTCCGCCTCATCATATAGTTGCCTCTCCTGCTGCCTGCCTTGTCATACCTTGACATTAGTATTACTGTATACCGCAGCTACTTTTGCTGCTCGAGTGAGAAGGAGCGTGCCGCTGCGCGCCCGCGTCCGGGCGTCGGCCGGCCGGCCTCCTCCCTTCCTATACTTCAGTACTGCTGCTTAACGGATAACATATTGTTTCATCGATGTCTCATCCCATACCCTCTGCCACTGAGCGTAGTAAACACGAGACCTTAAATCCTTTGGCATCTTACCCCGATTCTCAGAGGAAAGACTCAGAGGGCGGCCTACAGAGCACAGCACTCCGACCATATTTTGAACGACAAGCTGAGCACGATTGGTCTGCAACAGAATCGGGGAAAAACGCGGTACTACCGACGTTTGTTGGCACTGGCGCCCGCAGATATTCGCGAGCCCCACACTGCCGCAAGGTGCCTGTCGACGGCAAAGTCCAGTCTTTGATTGTGTTCTTGGGCTCCATTATGCAGGCCGGCGGTCACAACCACGGCGATGTCAAGGCACGGTGTATGGGTGCTGCGCGCGGCTGGCGCAGCATGGGGCGTTTCTGGATTAATTGCAGATATCTTGGACTGCGAAAAATGCTTGCAGAAGTCAAGTTTTGTCAGCGGCTACCTCTGGATTCGAAGCGCGCGTTCTAGCTGGGGCCCAGCGCGATCAGATTGACGCGCGCGTGGCGCGATATGCACGAGCATTCCTTCTAGCCACCGCATATCAGGATCAGGCAGTCAGCCGATGACGGCGACCCCTCTGGCATTGCCAAAATTGTTCGCAATATCTCATCGCATGATGTTTGGAGGAAGCTGAAGATGGTACCACCTTCCCTGGACATACAGATGTCGCGCACTATGCGATGGCAACGCGTTGCTAGCGAGCCTGCATGTCGCATGTCATGCCCCACTGCTAGCTTGTGCATTCGGAAAGCTATTCTGCGAGACCGCGGCGACGATGGACTTCGCATGGGCACCTGCACATTTTACCAACCCGTGGCGCAAGCAGTTCTTTCATGATACGAAGTTGCTGCAAACATTTGCTGGCGGACGCGCGTGCCTCGACGTCATTGGGGACTATTTGCTCGACATTTTCCGCCCGGCGCCAGGCCGAGATGTTTTTCGCGAAGCTCACGAATGCACGCGTGCGAAAGTGGTGGCTGGAACAGCCTTCTCCACCACGCAGTGCCCCAGATGCAATTGTCTCCTGGAAAAGCCCCCGTGCGCGCGGCCCCCGGCGCGCAGATGGCGCGTCGTGCTTGCGCACGGCCGAAACAAAACAAGCGCCCCGAGTGCGCCGAGCGACGGGCGGGGGGGGGGCGGGCGCGGACGAGCATGCGAACGCGCGCGAGTCACGACTACGAACCGATGTCCTCGCTGCCGATCGACGTTCGCGAGCCGACTGACTGCGATAAACCATCTTGCTGCTGCTCATCGTTCTGGGCGATGCCAAACTGCTCTGTTTCCCATGTCGACGTGAACGATCCGCCGCAGCTGTTTTGCCCGAGCGACGACTGCGAGCACGCCTTCGCCGCGCTCGGCGAGTTGCAAGCCCCCATCGCTGCCGGGCATCTCCCAGCACCTCGCCCCCACGTCGCGGATGAACTCACTGCCCGGCGCTGGAGGGCCCGCAGGCGCAGCCGCGGCAGATGCGGCGCAGCCTGCTCGCGAGCCCCGCCGCCGCCGGCAAAGAGAGCGCGGCGACCAACAGAGTGGGCCGAAGGGCAAGCTAGCGGACCTGGACTCGCTCGAACTGGAGGAGATGGACATGAAAGACATTCGGCGCATGTTCCCCATCGCCGTGGAACTGCTGCTCAACGTGACGATGAGACAGCGACAGACCGACGCCATATTGATCGAGACTTACCTCGCCCCCCCAGGCTCCAAAAGCGCGGCGGCGATCCGAGCCCGAGTTCGGGCGCGGGCAAAAAAAACATAGCATGTTCGCAGCTCGACGGCGCCACCGCAGATCGACATAGAGATGGCGAAGATCGGCGCGATCATCGCCGCAGCCTTCGCAGGTCTGCTCGAAGGTCTCCATCAGGAGGGCGCGTCCGTCGGCGGTCTCAACCAGCAGAACCTGGCGGTGCTCGGCGACAAGCTGAACGCTATGGACATCGACGGGACGACGGGCGACGTCGCTGGCGTCAACCCCGCGGGCGACGTCGACCTCAGCGTGATTCACGACTCACTCATCCAGACAGGAGCGAGCTACAAGCCAGGCCAAGGACCGATGGCGCACATGGAGAGGATCCTTCACGCGAAGCTGACGCAGTTAGAGGACCCACTCATGGGCTAGCTTTGTTTGTTTTTCACTGGTCAAGGCATAGCTGTGCGCAATGGGGCCCCCGCATTCCATATGCTACAGCAGATCTGGGCAGGGCAATGGGAGCTTCTCGTCAGCATCAGGGAGCGCGCCTACATTGCGCCAGTTGTTCAGGGCATGGGAAGCCCAACGCGCGCATCTACGAGTGCGACTACTTCTTCGCCAGTTGTTCAGGGCGTGGGGAACCCGCATTTTGCGTCAAAGAGTGCGCCTTCTTCATCAGGTGTCCTGGGTATGGGCACCTCACTTCACGAATCACAGAGTACGCCTACTTCAGCAGAGTCACCCGTTGGCAAGCACTGCTCACCTCATCTGCCCTCTCTCGACCTCGTGGGCGCGCCGGTCCCTTCGCTCGCATCGAGGGCCTCTGGAGGCAGAGGGTGCCAACCTTCGGGAGGTATAGAGGAGGGCATGGGAAGCCCACTACGTGCATCGCAGAGCCCGCCGACTTCTACGCCGATTGTTCAGGGCAGGAGAGGTCATGTCGCATCACAGAGTGCGCCTGCCCCTATTGTAGTTATTCGGGGCATGGAAGGCCCGCCTTTTGCATCTTCGAGCGCGCCTATGCCAGTTGCCCATGGCATGGGATGCACAAGTCGTGCACCCACGAGTGCTACGCCTTCGTGTTCCCGTGCCGAGATGCGGGCGGCTTCGCTGGTGTCACGCGGCCGAGCATTGGCCCAGGCTGAGAAGCAGAGGCCCGCTGAGCCCCCCGAACCTAGCCTGCCCAGCGCCCCAGTGCCCTCTCACCCCTCCTCGTCTCTCGAGCCTCTAGAGCCTCCCCCCCCCCCCTCCTCCCAAGCGACCTCGTGGGCATTCCACCCCGCCGCCGCTTTCCCAGCGCCAGCTGCACTCAGCCCGAGGCTTGTCTCACCCTGCCCCTGCTACCAGGCAAAGCCCAGGACGCGACTCTAGAATCATCGATATCATCATGAGACTCGTAACCACGAGCAGGCGTTGAGACCTGCGTTGCGTTTCCCGTCAGTGTGTGTGTGACCACGCAGTTTAAATTCGGGCGTAGCCCGATCCTAGAAGCACTCAGCGTCAGTCACATCCGAACTGCTGCCTCCGAGGGGTCCGATCCGATCCGATGTACACACGTATAATTGCAAGAGCTTCGCCCATTGTCGCCGGCCCCCTCTCTTACAGTGGGGCATGCCAGAGCTCAGTTGGGATGCAAGGGCGCCGTCGCGAAACGATTTCAGGACTTCGCGCCAGGGCCGACATCGCACGAAATTGTGCGGTTCCGCTGGCCCCCTTGTGGGGCCATCAGGCTGCGGGGATTAGGCTTGCTGATCCCTGCTTCAGTTCCAGTTTCAAGTCTCCCATGGCCCTCTAGTCTCCGCGACGCAAGTTTTGAGTCATTTACCAAGGAGTATGGCCTCGAAGGCACGAACATTGCGTGCTTTATTTACTAAGGGTGATGGTTTCGAAAACGCAGATACGACGTAATTTAGGAGGGGTCGTGGCATCGGGGACGCCAACATTGCGTAACTTACAAAAGGAATCGTTGCCTCGGCGACGCGCAGACAGCATAATTTGCAAAGGACGGTGGCCTCGGGAACGCGAGCATTGCGCAATTTGCAAGGAACCGTGGCCTCCTTGACGCAAATTCTGTATAAGTTTCAATCGCTTGTGGTTTTGAGGATGCGGATATGATATTTCAGAAGGGAATGCGGTTTCGAGAGCGCAGATGTGGCGTAATTTACAGGGGATCGTGGCCTCGGGGTCGCGAGTATTGTGCGATTTTCATGGGATCGTGGCTTCGGACGCGCGAATAAGATTTGTATAAGGATGATTGTCTCGGAGGCGCGAGTCCTATGTATTTTACGTGTCCCATGGCCCCGCAAGAATTCAGACAATGCGCTTCGGGCCTTGAAGATTTGGCCTTTTGGGGCTCCCTCCTCGCGAGGATTTCAACAATTTACGTTAGGACGTGTAATGTAGGGCTTTGACGTGGGAGACTTGAAACTGGAACGGATCAGGGAGCAGCAAGCCGAACTCCCCGCAGACCGATGGCCCCACAAAGGGGCCAGTCGTCGCCGTCGTCGTCGCTGTCGCCGCCGCCGCTGCCGCCGCCGCCGCCGCCGCCGCCGCCGCCGTCGTCGTCGTCGTCGTCGTCGTCGTCGTCGTCGTCGTCGTCGTCGTCGTCGTCGTCGTCGTCGTCGTCGTCGTCCCCCCCTACAGGGTCGGCGGCAAAGGGCCTTCGCAGGCTTCCCTTTGGCGAGCTCCATCATTCCTCCTCCTCCTCTTCCGCTTCCTCCTCCTCCTCCTCCTCCTCCACCTCTCGACGCTCGTCTCCTCCTCCTCCCCCTCCTCCTCCCCCTCCTCCTCCTCCGCCTCCTCATCCATTCTCGTTCACCCTCCCGCCTCCTCCCCCCCTCTCATATACCCTCCTTCGCCCTCCCATGCCTCGATCTCTTCCTGCCTCCATCCTTCCTCCCCTCCCTCCCTCTCTTCTCCGCCCTCGTCTTCCCTGCAGTGCCCGTTCCTTGCTGTCTTCTCCTCCCTCCATTTCCTCCTTGTCTCCTGGTTCCTTGTCCCTCCTTCTCCCTGCTCCTCCTCGACCTCCCCCCCCCCCAGCGCCAAGGTGTTCAAGACCGTGCCCGCGCTCAACAGCCTAGTGCCCGCCCTCCTAGGCCTGAAGGGCAACCTGGAGATGACTCTCGGTGCCAGGCTGGGCTCGCATGCGAACAAGAGGGAGCCCTGGGCAGATGGAATGGGAGCATCGAGGATTGAGTCCCTGGAATAAACCAGGCTGGTCGGGATTCAGGTTTGGCGGGTCATTGTTTGATGATGGAAGGTTTGACGTTGGCTTGCATTCGGTATGTTTCCTCCTATGCAGAGAAACGTTGCTATTGCTGGGACGCTTCTGCCCCATTCACTCACTCACCCGCATCTTGTTCGCATATCCTAAGACAGTGCAGAGTGGAACCTCGCCTTTCGCAGGCTTGTAGTCAAACTCATATTTACTCATGTTCAGTTTGACTCATCCCCCATCTCTCCCCTCCTCATTCCCATCACCTCTCCTGTCCTTCTCTTCTCTCTTCTCCGTTACACTGTCATCACGCGCATGCCATTCATATTCAAGCTCTCTCACATGAAGACTCAGTCATACCCATTTCTACTCATTTCTACTTCTACTAAGACTCACTCACGCTCAGACGTACTCTCACTCAGACTCTACTCATGCACATATTCACTGCTGCACTCAGACACACTCACACCGCGAGCTAGCAGGCGTGGCATTTGAGCACTCCAAGGGGGAACCGCTAGGGCGCGTTGCACTCCCCCGCTCGCGCCCATATTGTTGGCATGTCTCAGGCGGTTTGCTTGTTTCTTTCTTTGGGTGGTCGAATGCTCACCACGATATTAGCAGGCGTGGCATTCGGGCACCCCCAAGGGGATCCGCCAGGGTGGGGTGCACTCCCCCGTGGGATGTATCTGGCGGTTTGCTTGTTTCGGAGCCGCCGACATTTTTCATTCGGTGGTCGAATGCTCCCTGCGATATAGCAGGCGTAGCATTTGGACACCCCAAGGGGGATCTGCCAGGAGTTGTTTCACTCCCCCGTTCGCGCCCAGATTGCTGGCATGTCTCATGCGGATTGCTTTCTTCGGCGCCGCCGACACAGTCAGGTTGATCGGTGGCGTTGGCATCCCGAGAACAATATTTTGTCTTACAACGAGGCAGTTCCCTCAGTGGAAATGAACCGTTGTAATGGCTTATGAAGAGAGAACTTCGAGGGAGGATTTATTCCAACATCGTTGATGACTCTTGGGTTTACCCTGGTCATCCTCCTCCTCGTCCTCCTCCTCCTCCTCCTCCTCCCATCCTCCTCCTCTTCCTCCTCCCCCTCCTCCTCCTCCGCCTCCTCCTCTTCCTCCTCCTCCTCCTTTTCCTCCTCCTCCTCCTCCTCCTCCTCTTCCTCCTCCTCCTCCTCCTCCTCCCCGCGCCGCGGTCCATCCGGATCCCGGCAGGAGCTGGACGGTTCCGCTTTCTGGCCCATCGTGCGCAACAACTTGCTCGCGGTGCAGTGCCAGGCCTGCAGCGGCGTCCCCGGCCGTTGCGATGGCGCTTGCGCTGCGGCACTCTGCCGCATCTGCGCGGGTCTGCGGGCGCATGTGCTTGTTATGAGCCCGCGGCGTTTTCCTTTTTATTCCCCATGTCCCAAGTATGGAACTTCCTTGGATCACGCCTCCTGCATCCTTTTGTCTAATGACATCCGCGCCCAGATTCACTCCTCGTTTTCAAACCAGCTCATACTCAGACGCCCCCGTGTACAACCACGAATGTGGATCCTCTTCTTTGCCCGACGTCTAGAACCGTTTTGGCTCAGGTCTCGGCCGTTTCGCAATAACGGTTGGGCGTTGCTGCGGGCCGTTGGGCCTGCGCTTTCGACGCCGCGCCGCGGCGGAACGAGAAATCCATCCTGTCTGGTGCCCGCCATGTCGTCGCGAAGCAGGAAGGCAGAAGGAGGCCGAGGCGGAGGATCGCAGAGGAGGGCCGACAGCGTGTGGCAACGCTCCGTACGACCCTCTGGGACGGGAGCCAGGCAGGCAAGCTGGCAGAGTCCCCCCGTCGCCGAGCTCTCATTCGGGCGAGGGGGCTGGCAGGGGTCCGACGAGGACACGTGACCTCCTGAGATGACAGCCAAGCTTCGGTCCATTTCTTTGGTCAAAGCGGCCGACGGCACGCGCAGGTTCGTGGGCCGCCACGTTGTCGCGACCGCCTTGGTAACATGCCAATATTGTGAGGAAGAGTGCAGTTTCGTATCGTTCGCTGTCCTGGCTTACTAGAACGGCGGAAGTTACATGGTTCCAGAGCAGCAGTTCTGTCGTCGTGCACGAGCACGCGGCCAAGGCCAGGAGCGCTGAATATCCGAGGGCGATTATCAACAGAGTCCCGGACCTCTTGCGCCCGTGCCGCTACATGTATTTCAGGTGCCATTGGAGCAAGTGGCGCGGCGGTTCGAATTTCTGGATCAGGCCACGGTCCGTTAGCCTGAAGGCCAGATGGTTCAACCCGAGAGACAAGGAGAAGAAGGAGCTCGCCATGGAGGCGGAGCTCGCGAAGCACAAGGACGGTCCAGTGGCCTCGAACGCCCGGTTGAAGTGGGCGGTCGCAGTTTTCGCGGCCTCCCTGGGGGGTCCGCATAATGCACGCGTGCCCGCAGTGCAAAACGCCCCCCCTCAAGCCGAAAGAGCGGGTGCGCTGCGCGACGCCGACGCAGGTGGGCGAGCCAGGGGGCACCACCGCCAGAGGGCGCTGGACAGCGCGGCCGCAGGTGGTTAGAGAAGGGGACCGATGCGTCAGAGCACCGCGCCATCATTTACCCATCGCGCTGTATCATCGCGAAGAGCGGCATGGAGATGGCCAGCGACGAGGAGACGAGGCAGATCGAGCAGTCCCAGGAGCGCAGCCTGGTGGACCAGGCCGGGATGGTCTATTTCGGCCACGGGGCCCGGAGCAGGAGAGCACCCCGACGGCCCCGAACACGGCCAAATTGGCGTCCGTCATCACGCCGCGGAAGGGGTGTGTGTGTATATATACATATATATATATATACGCACACATCAAGATGGACGGGCTATTGGACAGGTAGCTCGGCGCAATCATGGGCGCCATCGACTCCAGCAGCGAGGGTTCTTGAACACAAATATCAAGAACGTGCCCGCGCTCTCGGAGGACAGGATCACCGAGGACGGGCGCTTCTCCCGACGCCAGTTCACAGGCAAATGCCGCGCCTTGCGACCGTCCGGAAACTGTCCCATGTTGAGCGAGGCCAAGCGCCAGGGCGATCAAATGCTTGCCCCCGTTCTTCGACATCTCGAGTTCCACGGGCAAGCCGGCGACGGCCGAGACGGGCAGGAAGACAGGGGCAGTTTTCGAAGCCGTGGCGGCGCGCGCTCCAATGCCAGAAGTTGGTCATAGAGGCCTTGGTCGAGCGCAACAGCAAGCTCTGATCAATGCGTCGGCGGGGGGCGACGAGGCGTTCGGGCGACGGAAGCGGAGGCGCGCCAGGCGGCCGTTCTGGGTGGGGCGCCGCCGTGACGCAGCGAGAATGGCCGCCAGCCAGCTGAGGCAAGCGCGCGTGTCTTTTAACAGCCACACGGTTTTCGCGATGTAGCAGGACTTTCGCTGTTGCCGTGGCAGGTAGGAGCCGCCAGGGGGTGTTGCACGGTCCCGTTCGAGCCCAGACTACGGGGACGTCACAGAGTGTTTCTTGTCAGAATCACATGACCATTCCGATGCAGCAGGCGTGGAATTTGGGCTGCCCAGAAAGGGTACCCCCGGGCGTATTGCAGTGGCCCGATCGCGCTCAGATCGCCGCAGCTTTTTACAGAGATTTCTAGTTTTTTGTTGGGGGATGGGGGGGGGGGCGCGTGTCCTTCCAAAGCCAAATGGTGATCGCGATGTGGCAGCATGGCGCTTGGGCAGCCCGCGAGGAATCCGCCGGGCCATTTTGCATGGGGTTAGTCGCGCCCGGATTGCCCCGACCTCTCAGGCATAATGGCCGTTTTGGGAAGTACAGTTGTCTGTTTTCAGACCCCCGTTGCAGAGAGCTCGCCTCCGCTGCAGAGAGCTCGTCGCCCCGAAGGTCATTGGTAAGCGTCGCTGCTGCTTGGGAAGCAATGATGAAGCAGACATGATTCTTGGGCCACGCAAGCGGGGGCCGCCAGGGGATAATGCACGGGCCGGTTCGCGCCCGGACTGTCGGGGCCGTTCAGGCAACATTGCTGTCATTGTGGGGTATACATGCTTCTTATCAGCGTCCAATTTTGCCGATGGTGCAGGCATGCCACCTGGGCCAACTACAGGGTGAATCGCCAGGGCGTGCTGCGCTGGCATGTCCTTACCCAGATTGTCAGGACCGCTGAGGCAGAATTGCCATTCTTCCATGGTGTGCATGTTTCTTCTCACAGCCCCATGATACAGCCGATGGCACAGGCATGGCATTTGGGCCAACCGAAGGGCAAGTCACCAGGGGGTATTGCACGGGCACGTTCATGCCCATATTAGCAGGACTTTTCAGGCATAAATGCCGCCCTTGTGGGGTGCACATGTTTCTTCTCAGTGCCCCGTGATCACTGCCATGCCACTGGGGGAGCCACCAAGGGGTATTACATGGGCTTGTTCGCGCCCAGATTGCTTTAATATTTTTTAATATAATAGCCAAGCCATTTTGGCTCAAGCCGTTTTGGCTCAAGCCATGCTGGTCAAGGGAATGCATTGTGTATTGATTGATGCTTTTTGCCCGCCAACGAATCATCGCGAGCTAGAGCATGCACGACGCATGTCCGCTAGATGATTTGGCACAGCGATGCTTAAACCGTGCATGATCGTCCCACGCAGTATTTCTCAATCGTGAATCTGTGATGCTTTCGTCACGGTTCGCCTCTTTACATTCTCGATGTTTGATTGTCCGGGGACGCCGGTGCCATCCATTTCTACAGCAACAGTTGGCAGGGTTCGGGGATCAATTCTTTGATCCGCATGCCCTTGAAGAAGCAGTTCAACATGCTCAAGAAGATCCAAGCCGCTTGCTTCGCCAGGCACGCTGGCAACATCGACGCGCGCCGAATGTTGCTGGAGAGTGGTGGTGTTGTGTCTGCGGAGCGTATATGTTTCCGACGGCTTTCGACATGCGACCGCCACCGTCCAGGTTTCCGATGAGTTACTGCATTGCGCTTCTGTTGATCGATACGAATACCGGTGTACATTGCGGGGTTGCGTGCGTGGCCTTCTTGCAGCTGCAAGGCGCCGAGCTTCTCGGCGTGGTCATAGCCTCCATCTCACCCCTGATGACCTATTAACAGAATTGTTGGGGAAGCAAGCGCGTCGTTTTTATTCTGAAGTGCCAATGTATTTTTTGCACCCATGCACCCAAACCTTCACTGGGGAATGTCGTTGGAGCGCCTCGTCAACAAAGATGGGTTCACTTCTGCTAACCGTGCCCTCATTGCTGCGGAGTTCGACACATCTGATCATAGTCTCGGTCACGTGGTGTCTCCTATCTATGGGGCAGAGCACTGGTCAAAGCACAAATTTGATGTGGTGCCCCTCTTGCGTCATCGTGCCGTAGACCTGAAGCATTTAGAGACCGTCATTCGAAATGCACGCACATGTGACCGCCGAAAGAACCCTCAGACTATCCGTCGTGAACGAAGAGCGCCGAATGCTTCTGGTGAGTTCTTATGTACTGTATGCCAATCGTACAAGGCGCCCGAGGCATTCTATCGTCGAAGAAGTGATGTGTCTGGGCGCCAAAGCCGTTGTAAGAATTGCGCTCTGGAACGGACGCGGATTTCTAGGTTGACGTTGCGTGGTCTCGTGCGTTCAAGTATGAGTAATGCTTCGTCTAGACCAAGGGGACGAGGGCAGACATACGCACTGACTCTCGATGGCCTTCTGGACAAGTTGTGTATGCAGTGCGGACGGTGCTACTACTCTGGCATGCCCTTGGGTTATACGGCTGCACATACTCATTGGCGTATATCGTTAGAACTGATGAGCAATGATCAAGGCTATATTCCAAATAATTGCGTGCGGATTGCCAATGAGTTCAACACTTGCGACTACAGCCGTAACAAAGCGAAGTTCGATGTCCATGGGACGGCACAGTGGTCCAGAGAGAAAGTAGGCATGGCTTGGGGTTTGACCAGATCTTCGACAAGGACAGAGTATATGGTGCAGCCCATAGTGAGTTAATACAATTCAGCATGCTGCATGTCTGCTTCTTCGGCTCATGCCACGCGCATCAACCTCAATCGCTCTGTATGAACACTGTAACTGCGTCGTTGTTTTGGAGCCATGGGCCCCAACTCTTGTCAGTGATTGCATTCGAATGCTCACATTGTTGGCGGAAGGCATGGTCACGAAGGTAAGTCGTGAACAGACCTACTTCATGGGCTTGCGATTCCGCGTCGTCGACGTCAGGTTGCGATAGCAGCAACTCCGGGTCAAAGTGTCCATTCCTGTTTTCCACATGCTAGCCACCCGAGAATGAATTGCGTAAAAATGCACGTTTCCGGTGTGCCTTCAACCTGCTCAGCAGCATCCGTCATCACGGTGCCCAGTTGCCCGCGGCAAGCCCCGCCACCCTATCAGCCCAGCATTTCGGTTGGTTGCGGAATCTAAAAAGATATTGATAGAATGGCCGTTTTGGAGTAAACGTATTCTTTTCCAGAGCCGCATGGTCGCCGCGGTGTTGCAGGCATGTCAATTTGGCCACCCAAAGAAGAGCCGCCAGGGGCATTGCAAGGGCCCTTTCGTGCCCTGATTGTCGGGGGTTCTCGGGCAGGATGGCAGTGTTTCTTTGGTGGGCAGATGTGCTTTCTTTATCATCTCGGTGTAGCAGGCATGACTTTTGACCACATCACCCTCGCGCTCAGATTCGCTCGCGTTCTTACAGTCGCGAAAAGAATATCCGAACCATGAGATACACACGCGTGGGTATCCGCGTCCAATGATTATGACCGAGTCCATTTCGCCGTCTTTCTCACCCCTCATCCCTTTCCATTTCCAGTTGCACCCAGGTTCACTCACATTCATATGCTCATACTTCGAGCAACTCACAGCTAATTGCATTTACACTCAGGCGAACTCTTAGTCTGCATTACTCTTACTGGGATTAGCTCATACTCATACTTCGTCCCTCTCCATCATTCACACTCATATTTGTTTCCACCTCGACACACACACACACACACGCATTCCCACTCAATCACATTCAAGCCGTTCATACCCATGCGTGCACAGATTCATGCTTAACTTGTCTCAGACGTAGAGAAATGTTTTCTGATACGCATATGCATGTTGGCTCATACCCAGATCACTCATACTCCGAAACGTTCATGGGTATGTGGAAGATGAACTCACACATCTTGAAGCTCGCTGTGACCCCCACAGGAACTCCAAGCTCACCAACACTTAGACTCGCTCGCATTCAGATCACTTATGTTCATATTCACACTCCCAACATCACTCATAGACCAACCAACTCATATTCTTCACTCGCACTCACCGGCTCACTCATGAGAGCCATTTCTTTTCATAGCCCAACGGTCGCCGCAATGTAGCAGGCAACAC